ACTAACACACGCTGTGCGGTAAGCCGGTAAACGAAAATCTAATCACCGCCCGTCAATCCACAGCTCCGATCACCGGAAGAAATTTCCGGTCACGGGGGACCTCGGCCGCGGGTCGCTGCGTTACTGTGTAGATAGGGTTTGAGTTCGGATGGATTCCCCAGAGATCGACGAGGAGGAGCGCGGGAACGAGAAGAACGGCGAGATTAGCGTTCCTCGCGCGATTTTCCGTTTACTTTTCCTGGTCTCCACGTCTCTATCGATTTTCGTGCTTCTCTCACTCTCCGTGCTGTATGTTGCTGTTTTCCTTGGGAATTTATCTGTTTGGAGCCCGATTTCGGTTCACTCACGCTGCAGAATAATTTCCACTAGTAAGTGCTGTTTGTTTCTCTTGGCAGATTGAGCTCGTATGTGTGCCTGTGTGTGTTCGAACGGAAGTGTTAATTGGGCAGGCTGCAGATTTTGTTTGTTCTTTGTTCATATGTTGACAGATGAGATTTGTTTCCATCAATTCATTTTTGTTCTGTAAGTGACAACTGATTTGCCCCAGCTTTCAGTGGCCTTTGGTTAGCTGGAAACCATTTTTTGGAAGATTTGGAAGACTTCTATTTAGGGGGCCTTTTTAACTTATTTGCACTTCTCAGTTTATGGTCTTCATTTAGCATTATGATGGTTCATCAAGTTATTATTAGGAGGAAATTAAAAAGTAAGCTGATTGATTACTTACCTAGAGTTGGTGAAAAGAATTTGACTAAGCTGAATTGAACTTTACAGGTTATGAAATTGACAATCCTATTGCCTTATTTTCTAAATAGGTTCACTTATAGACTCTGAAGGTTCAACTGGTCTTTCAGTTTTCTTAGATACGCACTCCGGAATATCTATGAGGCGATTATGTTTATTAAATCAGGCTAAGGGGCCCATGTAGTGATCGGAGCTGCCCGTTTGAAACCTATTCAAATCTATGTGAAAATAGAATAACCATGCTGTTACCCCACCCACTGGCTGGCTTATGATATCAGGCATTTGTTTATGGCTGGCTTTATTGTTTGGAGAATATCATGAGCTGAAGGCAGAGTTAATCTGAGAATACAAACAGAAAACGATTGTATTTTGATTGATAATATCTATCTACTTTGGGTTCTTCCTCGAAAGGTCCTTCCTCGATCATTCTTAGTTACTCACTTATTTGCAATTTAAGAGCCACTTTGGATATTTCTCCATAGGTTCTTTTTTCCGAACCTACTCAATCAATTGTCAGATGTCCTCCATTCCCCTATCGTCTAGGCTATGGATTACTTGCCTTCTTGCCAACATGAAATCATGTGAAATGTTTCAGATTTTATGTCGGAGTCGATAAATACTTGAGTACGATATAATAAATTGATAAACATATTATTTAAACATATATCAGATATGGATCAAATTGATATTATCTCTTTTTCTATTTTTTTTTTTCTTTTTTTGTTTCCTTTTCTGAGAGAACCAAGTTGTGTTTATTGTTGATGCTACAAATGCTCCTCTCATTTTGATCGATTGATTTTCATGTCTGTTCATGCATATTTACTTATGATCATATCATCTTGCTTTCGTATCTCTTCTGATGGCCGTGATCTGGACGTCTTTGCAGGTGTTGATCTGAGGTCATCTAAGGTTTGTGAATTAGGGCTGTTAAATTACAAGGCCAAGCATGTGTTTTACCCATATGAAAGGAAAAAATATCGATGCCACTATGATTATTACTGGGCTTCTGTGCTTGAGGTAATAAAATACATTTTTTAAAAGATATTTTAGTTAGCTTGAAAATTGGAGGAGTACATTATGATACTTTAACGCTGCTACTTTTCTTATATATCAATAATGCTATGTTCTCTTACTTATTGGGTTTAATATCTTATAAGATACACAAAGTAAGTAGAAATTCTTGTTATCGTGCTAATAAAAGCATCGAGTCCATGCACTATGTAGCTTCTACATCGCATTTATAGTGTGAATCAATTTGGCAGGTTGAATACATAGATCATTTAGGGCAGGCTAGGTTTGCGTTAGCCGAGGCCCCAAACGAAGCCCTTCCATACAATTGTAGACCCAGTTTTGGCGCTGCATGGTTGACCAAAGATAAATTTAAGGTGGGATGCAAAACTCTGTCTTAAGCATTCATGCATGATAAGATTAAACATAGGCTATGTATGATAAAACGATCTGATAAGCTAGCCGATAGCTTATTGTGGATTTCGAACTTAAAAATGGTTGGTAAAATTAGTTGATAAGTCAGCTGAAATAAAATTTCAATGGGCTTTTTGAAAAGCTACCTAAGGAAGCTTATGAGCTTATGAGATAAGCTCAAGTTTTTTTGAAAAAGCTCGTCCAAGCTTATTTAAAAACAAAAAACTTATAAAACAAACTCATAACCTCGCACTGCCAACTCCATGCATTTACATTCTCCAGTTGTGATCAATTCCAAGTTTTCTAATCAATCTCTCTGTTCAGGTGAATCGAACATATGAGTGCTCATACACACTTGGCATCTCTAGGGTGAACATAAATTTTGAAGGTTTATTTAACTGTCCATCTGAAGAGCCTTCGACATTTGAGATGATTAAACGATATTACATCCTGTAAGTAGCAGGAAGCAATTGTCTCGTTCCTTTATATTTGCGTTCGTGAATATATAAAATTAAATCTGCATTATTATTATTATATTCTGCTGGTTTGGGCTGTGCAGAGGTGATTAAAAGATGCACAACTCAGAAAAAAATAAAAAATGATCTTTGTTACTAAAGAAAATAGTTNNNNGAGAAATTTATGAAAACCCGAAATGTCGGTAATCTTAGAAGACGTCGGTATCTGATGGTCAGATACCTACGGTCGGTATATCTTTGAAAGCTCAGACGGAGAGAATAAACGATCAAAATCGGAACTGAGGCTCAACCATCAGTAAATAATTTAAAATTATTTTGTAATGCCAATATTTACACTTGGTACCCGGGATGACTGAACAAATAACTTCCTGCAAAAACATAAGCTTATTGAGCAGTAGCATTTTTAAATGTTGCACCATTGAATCGTCGTTTTTGCTCAGAAAGTAATTCTTGTTTGAGAACCTTCTTCTTTCTCTTTGGCCAATTTTATAATCTTTATAAGATGTTACTTCTGTTGTGTCAGGTTTACAAGGATATTAAAGTCGAAAGTTTTCAGTGGGGAAATACTAAAACAATGGAGATGGGAGATGATAGCAGGTGCTGCAACTGGATACATAATGGCTTTCTTATCTGTCAGCTTCGTTGGGCTTTTACGGCCGTTGATGTCCTTTGCTCGTCGAGTAACTGCATTTCGGTCCTCCCGTTTGTGCCCAAGTACGGTTTTACTGAAGCGAACTTGTTTCTTTGTTGCGTATTTCTCGTTCATGAGTTGGGTCACTATTCAATACGTGAAACGGCTCGGCCTCTCATAGACGTATAGTTTTTCGGTTAAGCATGTGTAACAATTTTTGTACCTGTATAAATTGTTCTTTCATTGTAGCTCAAGTGTATTTTTTTTTTTTTTGAAGGTCAGTATATGTACAGTTAACCAGTTTTATTTTGTCAAAATTTCATGAAGGTGAAGTTTCAGATCTATCCCTTTTTATAAGAAAAGGTCAATTTTTCATATGCTGTCAAAGACAAATGAGATTATGAGAACTACCGGAACTGTTAAATAACAGAGTTGGATAAAAAAAGAGTTGGACAGAAATAGTACCAAAATTTTTTTCTATTTCGGATTTATTTTGGAAAATTTCTTAAATTTCGTCAGAGGAATTTTAAATATATAATCAATCAAGAAAAAAATATTTGACTTGTGAGCCATTGGTTAAAAAAAGAAGGTGACCATATGGGGGTATATTGAGGGGTATTAAGAGGGGGCTTTTGAGTTGGGATTGGGTAGTGGTGATTCGGCATGGTTTTTGTGAGGCAAACATTGTGGTGGATTTTTTAGCGTCGTCGGCGGCTAAGGGTCCGAGTGGACTTCGGCGGCTTAATCGTCCTTTTCCGGGGGTGTGTATATGATTGCAGCGGTTTTGCTATGGAGCCATCGGATGGCTCCGCTTATGGAGTCATCCATTGTTATTCACAAATGATGTATTGACACGTGTCCTGCAATTAATGCACATTGGACATGTGTCAGTGTATAAAAATATGGATGGCTCTATAACGGAGCCATCCGATTGCTCCATAGAATTACTGATGATTGCAGATTGCATCATAATAGAATGGGTCTCTCATCCTCAATCAGTTCTAATTTAGGCTCGTTATAGCCTCTTTCTCGTACCAAAAAAAAAAAGAAGGTGACATATTTGCATCTTTTTATTTGTTCTTGATTGACATATTTATCCCAACAACCCATAGTTTGCATAATTGCATGATTCACCTAAAATTTGCTGAAAATATTATGTCGGCGATTAATTAATTAATTAATTACTCACAGAGGGGAACAAAAATAAATAAATTGAAATTGTAAAATCTCACTGAAAATAAAAATAAAAATACATACAAAAGCACATGCATTTCTGTATACAACGTCTGACATGGTCAGGCATTCATCCAATCCAAACCCCATTTTCTCCTCATCCTCTCCACAAGGGCCGCTCTCTTTTATGACCTCTCTGAAGAAAGAAAACCCCTTTCTCTGTTTTGATGAGTTCTTGAACAAGCCCATATAAAAATCAAAACAGATATGAAAAAGCTTGCTTGTTTTATGCCCTTTTGATTGATACCCTTTTTTCTTTTCTTTATTTTCTTTTTGGTGCCTAAAGAAATAAAGGTAAATGCATTCTCTTTCTGTGACTTATTTCATTTCTTGTATGTGTTGTTTATTTAAATTTTTTTTTTTTATTTAAAGCAAAAGATTAGTGTTTCAGTTGAATTCGTTAACAAAGATGTAGCCTTTTGTCATCAAGTTAGAAACTTTTGCAGTATAAACCCCAGAATTCCTGTTTCTATGCAAGATACACAAGTAAGTTGCTTGCTTTCATCCAGAATATTTCTGCAAAAAAGATTGAGTGTATATATTTCTGTCATTTTGTGGTGTTTGTTGTTTGGTTATTTTTATATTTGTTTTATTTTAAGCAGAAGATTAGTGTTTCTGTTAAAATGGTTAACCAAGTTTAATTGACTTTGTCAAATTTGAAACTTTTTAGCAGTATAAACCCAACAATTCCTGTTTCTGCACAAGATACATGTGTAAAGTTGTTTGCTTTCATAGTTTCATTTGAAAGAAAGTCTTCAGTCTTGGGTTTGTATAGATAATCTGTAATTTTTGTTGATGAGATTGAGTGTATCTTTTTTTTACCCTTTTGCAGAATTTGGTTTAATGGAAGTTACCCACTGACCACTGTTAAAATAGGGAAAATATTGGCTAACAGTGAAATTTAGTACCTTTCTTCATATGTAAGGGATGGGGTTTAAGCTTTTTGAGCTGATTAGGATTTGTTCTTTTGCATTTATGTCCCACTGTCTGTTTTCATGCTTTGCTTTCTACTTTTACTTTGCTTTTTTACCAGATTTTGGTGAGATGGTTGCATTGGTTGCATTTTTTCTTTGTCCTTTTGCTGACTTTAGTGGTGAAATGGGCCCTCATCATACAGAATGATAGTGTTTATTAAAGCAAATTGGGGCCTATTATGATTTGAATACATAAATAAATGCAGACTAATTAGACTCAGTACTCAAGTTGTGTATTACTCACTTTTAAAATGTGTAATGGTATAAAAAAATTAAAAGTTTTTTAATTCTTTGAGATTATATTACAATAATACAGAACACCAACATCCCCTCTCAATCCTTTTTTTAAAAAAAAGAGGAGTATTGATTAAGTGTGCTTGTCCTTATATGTTATTTTCAACCCCTTAGACGTGTTAATATTCATTTAATAATGGCCTGGCTTTTTGACCAGTAAATTTCCTGCTTGTTTTCTGGTTCATGAATATGTGTTCTGTGACATTTTCTTCATCATAAACACAAGACAAAGCCTTTCTTGTGACCTTCTGTGTGTGCATTTGCTGGCTGAGATTGGTATGTTAGCTCTCTTACATTGTCACAAGTATATGCATATTGGCTGCTGCTGTAATTTTTGCACTTTCTCACTAAATATTACCTTTAAGTGAGTTACTCTCATTTGGAAGCAAAGAAAAGCTGTGTCTTCTTGTATTTTCCTAACAAATGAGTGATATTTTGCTCTCTGTATTGTTTTTTGCATCAGATTCTTGGAACATTCTGTAACCATGACAAATAAAGATGGAAAAACAGATTCTCAACAGGACAAAAGCTCCAGGGCACTCCCCATGGCAATAATGATTGTTGTGCTGTGTGGATTTTCTTTCTACCTTGGTGCAATTTTCGGTTCTGCAAACGACAGTTATCCCACTCGAGAGATCGCTAAAGCCTTTGGAGCTTCCAAAGAATCAGTTGTGGGCTCACACCGAGTCGAAACCGTAAACTTTACCGAGTGCACCTCGGATTTTCAAGACTACACTCCTTGCACCGATCCGAGGGTAAAAGAAGTTCTTCTGTTTTATCACATATTACATTTGGTAAAAATTGCAATAATGGCTACCTGTTAACAAAATGGTGGTGTAAAATGGATAATTGTCCAACACGTACAGAATTAATCTCAAAATTGGTCTGGTTTGCAAAAAGATCAAAAATTTGAATCCGGCATAAAGTGAAATCTCTGCTTAGTAGCAACATGATTGAAGTTCATGATTGCAGTTAATTATACGGTTTACAATATGATTACACATTTTGTGTTTTTGTTTTAGAGGTGGAGAAAATATAGTAGGCATCGACTTTCTTTTCTCGAGCGGCATTGCCCGCCGGTTTTCGAGAGAAAAGAATGTTTAATTCCACCACCGGACGGTTACAAGCTACCGATCAGATGGCCGAAAAGCCGCGACGAATGTTGGTACAGGTAAAAAAATGAGTGCTTTTTAGTTTTTACTTTTTACAGCTGTTTGTTTATCCTTCATATAATAACCGTTCGTCGTGTATATATCTTGCTCTTTTTAAATGGTTTGGATCGATCTTTTCAGGAATGTGCCTTATGATTGGATCAACAGACAAAAATCAAACCAGCACTGGCTGAGAAAAGAAGGGGAGAAGTTTTTTTTCCCTGGTGGTGGGACTATGTTCCCTAACGGTGTGGCTCGATATGTCGATTTAATGCAGGATTTAATTCCTGAGATGAAAGATGGGTCCATACGAACTGCTATTGATACTGGATGTGGGGTGAGACTCGATATTTTCGATATTTATCGTAAACGGACCAAACCCGTTTATGACATACTTGATATTTATTTGCATTTTGCATTCGAAACAAGTCTTATTCTTTTTTTCTGTTTCCTTCTTTTATTTGATTGTTGATTTGTTTAGGTTGCGAGTTGGGGTGGTGATCTTCTCGATAGAGGGATCTTGACCGTCTCTTTAGCCCCGAGAGATAATCATGAAGCTCAAGTTCAGTTCGCTTTGGAACGTGGGGTACCTGCTATGCTCGGCATAATATCGACTCAAAGACTTCCTTTTCCTTCAAAATCCTTCGACATGGCACATTGCTCGAGATGCCTTATTCCATGGAATGAATACGGTAATTACATTACACTGGAACGAAGGGGAAAAAAAAAAGGAAAAAAGCAGCTTGTTCTTTCTTAGCTTCAACCTTCATTCCAACATTTAGTCGATATGAAGTTCGTTTGTTCGTCACTGTTTATTTCCCTTTCGACTTGAAAGTGCAGTCTTGAAAATCCTTAAGTTCTGACCTTTAGCTGTTTTTGCACGATTGATAAAAATCGGAACTTTAGCTCATATAACAATATTATCATTTATCATCATCAGGTGGCATTTACCTTCTCGAGATACACCGAATCCTTAGGCCCGGAGGCTATTGGGTTCTCTCCGGGCCCCCGATTAACTACGAGAGACGATGGAAAGGATGGAACACGACAGTCGAGCAGCAAAAATCGGACTACGAAAAGCTCCAAAAACACTTAACCTCAATGTGCTTCAAACTCCACGACAAGAAAGGTGACATCGCCATCTGGCAGAAGCTGCCCGACGACTCGAGCTGCTACAGTAAGCTCGATGCACCGGATAATTACCCGCCAAAGTGTGATGATGGGACAGAGCCCGATTCGGCCTGGTACACTCCCATGCGGGCCTGTGTTATCGAGCCCAGCCCAAAATACAAGAAACTCGAGCTTAGCTTGCTGCCCAAGTGGCCAGAGAGGCTGAAGGTCACGCCCGAGCGTGTGGCCGATATTCGCGGTGGAAGTGCAGGTTCTTTTAAAAAAGAAGACGATAAATGGGAAAAACGGGTGAGAGAATACGTTAAGTGGGTCCCAGCTATAGAAACGGGCGAGATAAGGAATGTGATGGATATGAACACTGTTTGGGGAGGTTTTGCAGCGGCCTTGATCGATTATCCTTTGTGGGTTATGAACGTTGTTTCGTCATATGCACAGAATACACTTACGGTTGTTTTCGACAGAGGGCTCATTGGGACTTATCACGATTGGTAAAAAAAAAAGATAAAAAAACATATCGAAATCAAGACTTGCAAATTTGTATCTTTTTT